TTACTATTTTTTTCGATTAATAGGATACTCATACCATCAATTACAATTTTAGCATGGTGGATACAGGTTTTGGGAGAATATCTAAAGCTTATTTTGCTTCACACATCTATAACCAATCTCTCCCTAATACCAAATCAAATGATAAATTTTGCGAATTTGAAAGTCTATTACTTCGGTACTATCTAAACTTCGCCACTTTCCTTTATAGCAAAATTGCAAATCTAAACATTTTATTTTACCTATTACATCCCTATAGAGATTCTCAACAGGATCACCTAATTCATAATCTTCTTTAAGCTTATCGAACAAGCTCTCACTAATGGTATTAAACTTCGACGATGTATCAATTAATGCTTTTACTGGGATTTTTCCTTCTACAAGTGTATTGATGAACATGTTAAATATGTTTAATGATATATATTATAACCGAAAAATAATTATAATTTATTCTGAATTTTATCATATATTAAAATAATAAATAATAGCGAAGCTAGTACCAAGGTACATATTACTACATGATATTGACAATGAATAAAGCTATATTAGAAAATAATCATAAATCTCGAAATGGTAATAGTGTGATATCTCGTATTATTAAACATATGTCAAATAAAAAAATTCAGATCTCTTTCTGTCAATTACTAAAAATAGTGAAACCTGAGATTTAGCAAGATATTATAAACTCGATAGCAAACCCAGATATTTCTCGAAGAAATCGTATACCATGTGAGATTAAAAGAAAATGCAATGCTAGAAAAAAACTAATTTTTAATAATACTGCATCTGAGTTCTCGTCTGAATCTTTATCTTCATCTGAGTCTGGGTTCAACTCTGAATAAAATAAAAGCAATTAGTAATTATATAGGTCAATGATATTCTCGATCTTACTATTTTCTTGTTTAGGTGCTGGGGTATTTGGTCTGTCATTCATTACACTATAATGTTCAACTGATAAAGCATGACCTATTTTATGTCTATATGCCAATTGCCGTAAATATTGATGGCGGGAATCATTCCTACCTCTATGTACTCTGAAAGTATAATTGGCACCTATTTTTCTTAATATATATGAGGTAATTCTATGGTGACTTAAGAATTGATTAGGAGGTGCAATATTAGTATTTCCATCCTTATCTTTTAACAAGAAGGGAAATTTATCTGGTATTGATCTCTGAATTCAGATAAGTAATTCTCTTGCTCATATTGGATTTTTTTCCATTGAAAGGAATGGCCGGGGTTCTTCTACCTCACCTTTATTTTTTGCATAACCAATACAGTCCAAGAATAGTCAGGATTATACTATGACTCGCAACTTGGTTTGTATCGGTTGATACGAAGATTTTTCATATCTACTAATCACATACATAGCATTATCATTATGTTTATTAGATTTTGCATTGAAGAAGGCATGGTAGTATCATATTTGCTAAGTCTTTCCTGAACCTTTTCCAAGTAAAAGAGCTTAGAACAATTATAACCATTAATTCCACAAAGTATATGCTTTCTTGCTTGAATCTGATTTGCTTCTTCAGTAATAAAGGGTATTTTCATTGTCTCAATGATGAGATAATCAGCTCCTAAGCTACGCAATTTTTTCCGTAATAAATTAAGACAAGAATTTCTCGCAACAGTAGTGGGAGCAGAAGAAGCCAAGTCATATGCTATTCTATTTATTTCTTCAGGTAAGAGATTATTTTTTATAATATCTTGGGCAATAATTTTAATGGGATCTCTTTCATCAACATGTCTCCCAGGAGCTCGAATAGGAATAAGAGTATCAGCTTGCTTCTTACTTAATCCCAATTCTTGAAAGCATCTTTTGGCCTGATCTCTAGCTTTTCGAGCCTGCTTTTTTGTCTTGCCATTTGAAAGTTTACTAGCCAACTCTTTGACATAACTACTAAGCTTTGGTAAACTAGTTTGTAGAATCAATTTGTAGTGTTTTACAAATGATGTAGCAATTTTTGCCATGGTTAGTATATGTTGGTTGAGATGTTTTATATAGACTACTTTCGTCTGATATATACTATGGAGATTCTTTTTTCAAATCGAAATTAATTATGCTTTTTTCCTTCTATACCTAGAAAAAAAGAGTTTATGTATACCTATAGGGTTACCGGATGTTGAACTATATGATTATACTTCATGTATAGAATCAGGTAAGTCAGATATATGATTCTCAAGCATAACAATTTTTGCATGTAATTCGGCCTGTTTTTTTTGATGATAATATTCTTTTTTTCGATATTTACTCACATGATTCGAGCATACACCATATGTAGAATATGTTAATTTACCGCATTCTTTGCAAGGAATCCAAGTTGGCAAATTCCAATGAAGTTTACACCCTTCTGGATGATAGCAACCTTGATTGCAAACTTTGCCAGTTCTAAGAATATAAAGGCAATGATAGAGTCCTATATTTATTATAATAATAATTGTATAGAATAATTAATTTTATTTTAAAGTTTTTTGGGTTAAGTATAATACTTTTAGTTTATAACTATACACTACATATACAAACAACACATATATACAAATCAATAAAATGAGTTTGTCTAGTGAAGCAAAAAAACGTCTTTATGAATCATTACAGCAACAGTGCTTAAATCAAAAGTCAGCCAAATATAATAAAGCAAAACAGCTTTTTATGGGGTTAACAGATCTTGATTATAAACCTGGCAATAGAGAACATATATTTTATAAATACTGGCTTGTATCCAGACCTGAAGAGGTGACCTTAAAAGGTCATAGCCATACTGATAAAAATGATACTGCACTTTTAGATGTGTATCGACTTGAAGAAATTTCTGATGAATATATAATTTGGGTAGCAGAGCAGGGTTTTACAGTTTTTGATTACCCATCTGAAGTTTATGGATTACTCGATGCTCACAAGTGTATTAATGGGAATCTGCCTATTTATCAGGTTCTGGATATTGATACGAGACAAAAGCTCGATCCCATGAATCCTGAACTTCTTTCCTTAGATAGAAGTAAAATTTCTCGTAAAGATTTATTATCTAGAATCTTAATTGCCTGCGCCAATATTGTATACTCAGATTTAAAACATCTTATAACTCTAAATACTTTTGTCTTAGCTAGTTCGTCTAATGCTAGTAAGTGCAGTTGGCATATTGTATATAATTATGCATATTTTGTTGACTACAGAGACCTTAGAGGATTTGTGGGAAAAGTCGCTGATAGAGTTGGAAAGCCATATTCAGAGTTTATTGATATTGGTCTCTATAAATCTCGTTTTAGTCTTCGGCTTCTTGGATCGGCAAAGGAAGACAGAGTTAAATGATCTGCAGTTTCTTCAGTTAAGAAAGGGTATCGAGAGCTAGAGGATTATTTAGTTCAACCTAAATCTGATTGTTCTAAAATTTGGCCTCGAACCTTTTCAGAAGAAAAGCTGGCAAAAAAAGAATTTAAACCCATTGAGGATGATAATGCTTTGGTTAAAGGAGCTAATTTAGTTATTGCAAAATATGGGTGGCTCCAGATTGGAAGAATCGAGAAGAGATTTATAAACTTTTAAGCACAATCCATTAAAGAATACTCTATATGCAACGTTAAATATAAAAAAGACTAACTCTATGAATTTATTCATCAAAATGGGTATTTTATACTTAAGTGTTATCATCAAAAACAATATAAGCCAGAATATAAGGGCTTTAGCTTCGATAATGTATCAGATAAAGTTGAATCAGAAGTGAAACTCAAGAAGTGAAGATTAATTGAAAGATTGTCCAAGGCTGTAAAACATCCACGCCTACTCATAGAATTATCTGGAAATAATATTAATGTTAAGAAAATAGAAAATGCCCCAGAAGCTTATTCAGATTTCATGAGTACGGAACCTACTACAACTCTAATTCGCTCACCTGTTGCAAGTAGAAAAACAAAAACCTTAAGAGAGATTCTTAATTCTTTAGCTAAAAGTGAAGCAAATTTACCTTGTTTTAACTGGGTTTCATATTGTAAAACTCTTAGTAATGAAACTAAAAATAAAATCAAAGTATTACAGAAATCTGGGCTTCGTGTATGCCATTATTGGGAAAATGAAAGTAATTTAGCTATACGTGACTGGGATGTTATTATTGTTCAGATCGAAAGTATACATCGTCTTAATTTCCATAGGGGTCATTTTCATGTAGTTATTTTAGATGAAATGAATGGTATTATGCGTCAAATAGTAAGTGGAATCCATGTACAAGAATCTGAAAATGCTATGCGGGATTTGTTAAAGTCTGCTGTTTACGTGGTTGCCATGGATGCTTTTGCAAATGAGTCGACTTTAGCCTTTTTAAGACAATACTGGGTGAAAATATCCATGTTTTTGATAATAACCCTATAAAAAAAATCTTGGAATTGTTCAGAAAATTCTAAAATTATTCGATTTTTTGTTCAGAAAATCGACTCCGTTCTGAACATTTTAAAGGATGTTTATTGGATGTTCATGTTTTTATATATTTTTCATAAATCTTTTATGCATTTTTTATACGATAATTTTTAATCGAAAATTTCCTATTTTTACATCCTATACAAACATCGATATGAAAACAGTACAAAAATAAACCCTGTTCAGAAAATCGATTCCGTTCTGAACATATTTTTGGACAATGCCTACAATAACTGAACAAACTTTTTTTATAGAGTAAGTATCAGCTACGTAAAAGTGAGACTATAAAAATCCTTTATGATTCAAATAAAGGTTTAGAAGCTATACGTAAAGGTCTTTAGATGCTTAAAGAAGGTAAGCGTGTTGTCTTTTCAATAACCTCCTACAAAAAGGCTCGGGCAATAGCTAATCAAGCATCTAAGTTGCAAAAACTGGACGGTTCATGTGTTTTATCACGAGTTTATTTTAGTCAAATAGATGGAAAACAATGCCAAGATAACTTTGCCGATATTAATGCTATTTGGAGTGGTCTTGATTGTGTAATCTATACAAGTACTGTGGAGTCAGGCATCTCAATCAAAATTCCTAACTATTTTGATGCAGTTATAGCAATTAGTAATATTAATACAGGAGTACACGCTGAAGCATTTACTCAGATGCTTTATCGAACTCACGATTGCCCGTATCATATTGTTTCTTTATAATAGTAAAACACATTCTGAGATTTTTAAAGAACCAAATCGTGACCTTATTCGTGCAGAACTTTTGACCTTAAGACCTGGAGAATTACCAACTGCAATAAAGGGGCACCGTAAATGGAACAAAATCGCTGACTATTATATACTCAATTCATCTCTGGTAGTAGAAACCTATATTGAGGTTGAATATCAGAGATGCTTATCTGCCAAATATTTTTCAGAAATTCTTTGTAGTTTAATTGCTAGTACTGGAGCATCACTAGAATTAATTACAGTAGAAGATACCAAATTAGCCAAAGCTTCTCGTACAGAAGTATTTAATACTATTAAGAATACTAAAGAAAGGATCAAAAGTTCTGATGCAGAATTAATAGTCAATGCTCCAGATATCAATCCT